CACGTCACACCGGTGCAGCGTGGGAAGAGGTGTAAGTCATTTTCATCAGCTCCTAAATTCATGATGCCTCCTTATTAAAAAAAAAGCACAAAACAAAACCTGACACATGGTATGCTTATGATTTTGGAGCTAATGAATGGGTTGTTTATTATCAGTGCCAGTTGCATCTAGTGCCAGACTACACACTTTCAGCATCTGAATGCAAAGTGACAAAAAAAAATAATATCAGTCTTCTTGTCCAACGCCTGGTAGAACAGGAAAGAAGCGCATGTGCATAATTTAGCTTTATTTTGCCTGAGTTTGTGCGATGAGGGAAAAGTGGACTTTGTGAAACGAGTCTGAGTAGAAACAGCATTTCCTCCTCTGCTTCTCATTCTGAAGTGGAGAGCATGATGGCAGAGCCAGTCAAGAGCCCCTTATCCGATCTGAAATGTTTTAATTGTACATCTCCTGCATAAGTAAGAGCAATTAACTCTCATAATCAGGAGCTGGAGTAAAGCCCTGGCTCGGATCCAACTGAAATCCTGCTCTTACGAGACACGTGTCATTAAAATCATCACTGAAATATGATCATCAGTCGTAGTGGTAAATCATGATTGCAATCCATACTTATGCAAAGCATGATGGGCTGCTGTTAGCCAGTGACAACACTCACTCTATATGACATTTAGCTTGTTGCAGTTTGAAGGCATATACATGTCTTTGTTAAAAAAAACAACAAATAATAAATAAATCATCAAGTCCATCAGTCATGACTTACAATTGAGGATGTTACAGTAGTAAACTATCATGAACTGATTTAAGTTATTATTTTTATTTATTTATTTATTTACAACACATATTTTAAACAAGATGGATTTCTCAGATGTCATGTTTTGCGATATTAAGTGAACATTTTGCATAGACTATCTCTGGTTTGCTCTCTACACAGAATCTCTTGATAAAAGTATTTGCAGGATGTGAGCAGACGTGACTGATTGGCGGTGTCTATACACTAAAGTCTCGTGCTGCTGTTATATCTTTGAAGTGTCAAAGCTATTTTTCAGAACACCGTGGTGACTGTTTTGTGTGTGTTATTAGTTTGAAAATGCTCAGAATACAAATGAGTGGTCAAGGCAAAACCATACACAATAGTAAAGGAAAATTCAAAGGACAAATAAAAAACATAACTTACTTCATTACTTCTTCTTGGTGCATAAAAGAAATAAAGTGCTTTGATTTAGTATTCCTCTGACTCTCTGAATAGAACAGATTCTGCATATCTATCTCGGACATTGCAATGTGATTCAGTAAAAATGCCATCTGTCTCGATGAGACATTTAGTCTTTGTACAGGACTTTATTTTCTTCCAAGAAGAAAAAAGAAAAAAAATCCTACTGAAATTACTCATTTTCACTTAATGTGTGTTTTGTAGAAATAAGCACTACAGTAAAGTTGTATTCCTTTGACCTTGTAGCATTTACAAAGAAAAAAAGAGGCAATTATTCCTCCTTTCTTAATTTGCTTAAAATATGTCCCGTAAATATGAGAACATACTAGCAGGGGTCCTATTATAAGTTGTGTAGCAATGACTTTGGTTTTAGTTAAAAGCATACTTTATTCGCATCCACCCATCCTCATCAGAGTCGCAGGGAGGCAGGAGCCTATCCCAGTTACTATAGGGTGAGAGGTGGGGTACACCCTGGACAGGTCACCAAGCTGACGCAGGGCTAACACAGAAAGATAGACAGCCATTCACACCTATGGGCATGTTTAGAATCCTTGATTAAGCTAATGCCACTAACTGCATGTCTTTGGACTGTGGGAGTTAATTACTCAGAGAGGACCACGCAAACATGGGGAGAACATGCAAGCTCTACACAAAAACACCCTGGCCAGGTGGTGGAGTTGACCTCAGGACCTTCTTGCTTTGAGGCAACAGTGCTAATCGCTGCAACCACCAGCCACCGTGCTGCCACCATGCTTTATCCATAATACTCATTCAACCAAACTTTAAAGAAGAAGAAGAAGAAAGTGTACTTTATTGGTCCCCGTGGGGAAAATCCCTCTCTGCATTTAACCCATTCACTCAGTGAAGCAGTGGGCAGCCACTGGGCGCCCGGGGAGCAGTGTGTAGGGACGGTACCTTGCTCAGGGGTACCTCAGGGTTGCTGTTCAGGGGAATCGAACCCCCGACCTTGATTGGGGTGAAAAATAAATAAATACAGACTGTTTGCTGATGTAATTGTCTACTTTTTGATCAGATCTGCTACTGTTAGCCTGACTGAACAGTGAAATTGGGATCCATGACAAAGTATATACCCATGATCTCACACTTCATCACTTGATGATGAACCAACTTGGTGTTCTGCTCGGACCTTAAACTTCAATTCACCACCTAAGCCTGCATGTTCCATGCAGACTCCAGAAAAAAACATAAAAAGAGCATTCATGCATCTTGTGTTGCACATTTGCAACTGAATATAAATACTCCAAAGCTCATTGTGCCATTCGTTCTCTGGCCCATTAGCGACAACAACAATTACTGTTAAACCCTAACCCACAGTTCCTGGGCTTTGATTTATCCTCTTCAGTTATATGCACAATAGCTACCTGATTAACTAATGAACATTAAACCAATAAGGAAACCATTTGATAGTAATTCTCTTACAAGCTGTGCACACCATTCTATTGCTTTATTTTCATCAGATTAAAAGAAACAGCTGTTCTAAATTTTACGCACTTGATGTTATTGCTCATCAAACAATAAGTTGTTCAGTTAAACATTTATTCAATTATAAAATGGCCATTTGGTTTACTGAATTTGTCTTTAGATAGCTGAGGTCAGCACAAATATAGTTTGCACATCTGAATGCAAATAGTAGACACTTGGAATTGCTTGAATTTTAACGTGCATGTCATTAAATTGCAAAACCAAATATTACAATTAAAAATAAAATCAGACTTGTGGTTATTTGCGGTGAAATTCAGCGTCTGCACTGCAAACTGCAGTCAGGAGTGATTGCAAATGTAAGAATGGCTGGTATTTGTGTAGATTGGAAGGGGCAGTAGTAGTTGTGATAAGGGTGGGGCTTGGTGTTCTTAGCTTGCTCTTTTTTATAATTAGTGAGTGTTACTATTATTATTTTTCCTAAATCTGATAATATTACCATCTAGCTGTGGAATTCAAAGAAGATATCTTAATGATTTTATGAAATTTATTCTATGACAGCTTAAGACTTGCTCTCCAAGTGTGCCTGATCCATTTCGGTGTGTATGTGCACTGGATTAGGGCGGCTCAGGACAGATTAGTTAATTATAGACACCTGCAGTCTAAGCGTGGCTTGTGTTGTCAGGTGTTGCGGCATGAGGCGGGCTTGTTGCTGAGAGGAGAAAAAGGCGGGGCTAGGTCCGGAGTTGCACAAACAAATGCTTTGCCATGTGCTCTGACTCCATCTCTTCTCCTAGCTCATGCTCTGAGAGCAGCTCCGTAATTGGAATCCTCACTCTGTCTTATAACCAGCAACTCTGCAAACTGCGCGGAAAATAGGCCAACTTCTTAGAACAGCTATGTAGCCTTTGAATAAAAATCTCCTTTGATTCTCGCCAGTGTGACGACTATCAAAGTTGTTAAAATGCTCCTCTGATATCATGCACATCTCTGTAATCATCTTTTCCACCTAAAGTCAATCACTCCAACACTTTTGTTCTATCTTTCTTTTTAATTTGTTAAAATAAAGGCTGGAGTCCTGCTACCAATGAGTGCATGTAACATGTTCATGTCACCCTGTTAGACCAAAAGAACTTTCAGCAAGAGAACAATCAGACTGGGGCCAATCAATGTCGAAGCTGTGTTAAACACACGAGCTTCTGCAGATACCTCAAATAAACGCATAACCTGCTGCTGCTGTTGCTATGCTAAGTTTGCTTGATTTAAACACGGTAGAATTAGAGAAACATTCAGTGTTATGTTATTGGATTATAACAGACATATATAGGGTTTAATTTACTTTGATTTACTTTTTCCTTCAACAAAGTCATACAATCATCTCAGTCTTGTTGTTTTTAAGCTGTGACTCCGACAGACGCTCCCTGCATCCTAAAACTGCCTTTAAAATTGACGAGAGACACAAAATCTTACTCAAACACGAGTGTTAATTTGTGTCTGATTAAATATTCCAAAATGAAAATAACACGAAAGCTGCAATCAGTTTTTCCGTTATGCTCTAATAAACCAGCGTTATTCTGCTAAATGACTTCTCCTTCAAGCTTTTTTGCTGACTAATTTGGAAGTTTTTGTTTACTCTAAACTTCTTGCTTAATATTAATTGAGAATTTGACATAAACCCTTCAATTAATTGAACAAATGTACTAATGAAGCATGCGATTAACATTCAAGCGAAATCATGTTACAAATAAATCAGTTTGCAACAAGCCATAAGGCAGTACTAATAAGCGGGCCACATTTGATTAGCCATTATTAAATGCAGCACCTGATATAAATACATAGCAGCATGAGCCATATGAAGCTGAAAATTTCAAGGGGAAAAGACGGTAGCAGCACTGCTTATGTAAAACGGCCATGCTTATGATTTTACCTAATCTCCACCAAAATGTACATTTACATTTAAAAAACTGGTTAATAGAGCTTGTGAAGTACTCCTATTATGAAAGGTGTCAGCCATGAAAAGCAGGCTTTGAATGATGAAATCTACAGTACTGTCATTATGAGTAAAATGGGTTGTACAGAATGGTATTTGTGCAGCCCCTGAATTTGAAAGTATTAATTATATACTCTCGAATAGACTTTGCATATTTGCATTGCCCCAAGGACTTATACATGCAACCTTTCTGTCTCAAATACAAAGTAAACAAAAACAAAAAAAAACGCAAAAATAGAAGGGACAAAATAAAGATGGCGACGAGGATTTCCACTCTCTGGCTAATCTTAGCAAGGTGACTCCACCCCTCCTGTCTGGGAGGCTTCTGTCAGACCTCCAGGTTAGTCACCTTTATGCACCTTCCTGCAGCTGAATGAACGGGCATCTGTGATTGTGGATGTACATCAATTGCTAAAGAGGAAGTCATTTGCAGAATTTTAAGCACTGAAGGTGCTTTTGTGTAAAGGGAGAAAAACATACTTTTGGGGGGGCTTTGATTGGAGGATTTACCAATGCATGAGCCATGATTTTGTTAATTTTTTCACTGAAGTCAGTAGTTGTGTAGTGCCTCTCTACAAGTACAATTCCAACTTCAAGCAGCATACAAACCAACTGGTAAGCACAATTCGCAGGATGTAGTGATGTGGTGGTAGTTCATGAGATGAGTAACGGCAGTGAACGGTGTGTCTTCAAAATACTTTTTCATATGTTTTTTAGCAATTTTTGTGAAACTTTCCAAAGGATCATGCAACTTTATGCACAGGCTTGATGCATTATACAGTAAGTGCATTTAAGAAACAAAAGCTATAAGGACAATCTTTTGTCTGTTGTACAGCTACAGTAGACCTGCTGTCCTTGGTGATGTTTTAGTAGATAACGTTGTTTTTCATTGTTGCTGTTCTATTCTTCAGTTCGCTCTGAATCAACCTCACATTGAAGGGGTGTGTTTCTTTTAATGGTAAAAGCATAAAATTATTACCTAGCCTGCACTTTCCAGAAGACCTTTCACTTGTGAGGTCACTGTCCAACCCTGCTTACTCATTTTTCACATCCAATTATTTGTCCAGTGCTTTTGATTTTCTCCTTCTGCAGAAAAGAAGAAATTCGCTTTGAATACCAAACTATAAATTAAGTTAGCATTCACATGCATGCATAACAGTTTTAGGTAGGTAGTGGTGACACTTTGACTTTTCCTGGGAAGCCCTTGTCTGTTGCATAACTCAATCACTTGAATGCCTGAAGTGCTAAATTTATCCTCTTTAAAAGGCTTACATGTCATTAATGCCAGAGCACAGTGTATCAGACAGGCATGATTGACTTGGCAGTTGTTCTGTCCTTACCTTGCATGTTCCCTGCCCACTTACATGTCTTAGACAGAAGGGTTTTTTTAAATAATGAATCATCAAATATGCTATTGATTTAGCAGATATACATATATGACACATTACTGAAGCTTTGTCTTTCCTGTTACCCGTGAATTTTCATCTGCAGGATATTTAAAATACTTTAACTAGTAGGTGAAAAGGGATTTTTCTAGAGTTTATTGTTTTAAAACATCATTCCAGTTGTTCGTGTCATCAAGGTCATGGTTGCCCAAATGACACAGGCACGCGCTGTTGCATAACTGTGTACGTCTATGCTCTACAGGATTTAAAGGCTGTACAGCTGAGAGTTGATCTTTAAGTCAAAGAGGCTTTACTCCAGACCACAGCAAACCTGAGATACTTGTTGCTTCAGAGGCATCAAAAGGTAGTAAAATAAAGAAGTACATAGTCAGATGGATGAGCTCATTATCTGAAATTAACACAAAGCACCATGTCCAAGAAAATATCCTCAAAACTAAAAATGAATCAGTGAAGCAAATATATACATTTTGTATTTTTATACAATAGCTGCAGAAAACTCCAGCACTTAGCTAGCCACTTGCTCTTTTCTAGACTTGCTGACCACTCAAACACCTTTAAACCTCAAGTCAAAGTTACTCATATATTTAAACAGAGCATTGCTCTCTGTTTAAATTAAATATAGAGGTAGTATTTTACCCAGAATAGCATCACCATTTAACTCAGTATGTATGTCTTCCAACTGTGAAAGGAAACTAGAATATTCCCACACAGCCACAGGGAGCACATTCATACTCCACATAGAAAAGCTCCCGGAGACAAGAGACTGATCAGCAGAGGCGAACCAAGAAACATGTCAGAAGCATAGAAGCATCAATCCATCCAGCCATCTGTTCTCTTAACAGCTAGTATTTCAGCATACTCTCTATGGACAAAAATACTGGGTCACCCTTGGGCTTAGTCCTTGAATTCAGGTGTTTTCAGTCTTCTTGCTACCATGTGATGAAACCAACCCTCTTGCCATGTTGTCTGCCCTTACAAATTTTATAAAAGCATGAGTCATTTTAAAGAGCTCACTGAATTTGAGTGAGTTACCATAAGAGGATGCTACCATTGCAAACAGTCAGTTTGTGAAATTTCTTCCCTGCCAGATACTCTCTGTTAACTGTGAGTGGTCTTACTGCAAAGCAGGAGAACACACAGAGTGCGGAGTTACATAGTGGACAGTGAAGTCGCCACAACTCTGGTGACTCATTGAATGCAGACTAATAAAACCTCCTGTGGTTTTAGCATCAGCACAAAAACCGTGCATCAGGTGCTTTCTGGTATGCGTTTCCATGACTGAGCAACTCCTGTGGGTGTAGTGTGTCGGTGACCCAGTGCTTTTGTCCAGAAGTGTAATATCAATTACAAGCACAATTTCTTCCTTATTTTGCCAGCTTTTCCTCGCAGATTTTGAACCTGCAACACACTGGGTTGTATTCATGTTACTTCTTCTAACTGCAACTTCCTTTGGCTGTTGAAACTTGAGTGTATACAGTAGATGGGCATGAGCCCCCTCTACGGTGTCAATCAGTTGCAATGAGGAGCAACTGGATATGGGGGGACAGTGAGATTCATAGAGCCCATCATCATCTGTGCTGACCGTTACTGCATTAGCAGTAGTTGCTAGTACAGTGACAACAGCATTATCTTTAAGTGGCTTTCAACTAACCTGCCCAAGGACATTTCGTGCCTTCTCATCTATTCACACACTACTGTTTTTATATATTTTCAGTATGTGAGATTGCATTAACACGTGCGGACATCGCACTTGAGTGTTCCTGCATTTCAGCTATAATTACAATTTATCTGAGTGCAATCTAAACATTGATTATGTGTTCTCTTAGCTACAAATCAATGCAGTTTTGTTTACTAAGCATTTGTTCTGCTTTACACTAAAAACATAGTAGTGTGGCGGAGATGTCATGATGGGTCTCAATTATTATTATAACATCTTCCTTCTTTACCTGTTCCAGTGCCAACAAAATGCAGAAGCAAGTTGAGGTCAGGATGGATGAGAGCCATCTGGGACCAGGGGTAGACCCACCTGAGAATCCATGTGGAACCCTCTGTGATAAGATTATGAAGAACATGGTTCTCACTCTCACCATCCTTGGTAAGTTATTTATTTACATTCATTCCTCCACGATATGCTTTTATTCATGGTTACATTTACACTGTGCAGTTTTAGGCTGTCCAAGACCTTTAGCTTACAGATGTGAAAAAACACTGTAACTGTCCCTATTGGATACATGCTTCATGGGTGATTTTAAAACAGAGTGAGAGAAATTGTGTTCTAGATGAACGGCAGGTTTCCAAGTGCAGATGGAAAAGTGCAGGTGTTGTCAGCAGGAGGGCAACGATAGAAATCTGCAATGAGGATTGAGTTTCCAGCAGTTGTTATAGCCTGTGAAGTGACCCTATAAATAAATAAATAAATAAATAAATAAAAGCAAATAAAGCCTCACATCCTGTAAGGTATGATGCCAGGTTAATAAAATGTTATCAGATCTTTTTTTTTCCAGTCTGTTTTATTGGGCTCTTCTATGACAGGGAACTTATTAAAATACATATAGGTAGTGTAATCATCATGATGGTATTTACACAAACTTAGATTCATCTGGATCATCATGCAAGGTATGTCGACATACCAATCCATCACTGTGTGTCAACTGCCAAACGCTGCCCAGAGAGTACAGAAGGAACTTCTTCCTTCCATTTTTCTTATGAGACCAATGTTTTGGTGCGTGATGGAAGAATATTAAAAAAAAAAAAGCTATAGGATATTTCGACTGTCATAGCCATCACTGTTCTCCTCATGCTGCAAAAGCTTTGTGTTGTGTAAATGGAACTATCGTAAACTGTACTGTGCACTTTTTGAGAACAATCTGTAAAGGAAATTTTAGGCAAAAAGAAAATATTGAAAAACAACTAAACAAACAAGAGACGCCGCAAGCACGGTGCCATGTTAACGTCATTCACAGATATTTTCTGATTAGAAGTCCCCATTAAAGTACACAGAGTCTATTGACCTTCTTAGTACAAAATCCAACTAAACAAATCAATACCTTTCCTATTAAATAAATAAATACAATTCTATTCAATGGAACCTCCTGTTGTTGATCCCACATCTGATCAGCTGTTAGAGCAGATAAGAGGCAGGTGTTTCTCATCGTGTGCCCCGAGGTTACGCAGTCAGGGGAGAATGGCAACACCTGGCTCCGACCAGTGAAGCAGCTGCAGTTGACCTTTACTGCATTTCTAGAAGAAAATCACCTTTGGGGAAAAAGAGGGAAAAAAATCCCCTCCACTCAATGTAAAAAAAAGCAGCCAATATTTTTTTCCCTTTTTAATTCTTGCTCTATCAGTGCTCTCACTGTGTGCTCCTGAGTGCCATTTAAATGCATAAATGTTCACAGCTTCTTTCTTGATGTTAAACTAGCAGGCAGCCATGACAGCCTAGGTTGTATTGCATTTAGACTGCCGTGCAAAACGCTAAAGTAGGAACTAACTTTGAAACGTAATTTCAGTGTATAAGAAGAATAGTTTACAAGCTTCAGTAACTTTTATGTCATCCTTTGGAGCTTTTTCCCTGCAAACTTTTTACAGATGTACGGTAATTGGAAAAATATTTAGACTGAAGTCAAGGTGATAACATTTTTGGTGTCATTACTTTATTAGCTGCTGTAAGGTGAAAAATAAGCAACCTTATTAAGTCTGATTTTTCACACTTTGTCACACTTTATCACCTTTCTACAAGTAATACTATGACACAGTGACTGTGGGAGGACAGGTGATGTTAAACAAATGACTGGCTCTGTGTTTGATTTTTTCTTTTTTATTTGTTGTCTCAGGTGTGTTTCTGGGTTCCATCTCCGGAATGCTTCTGCGGCACATATCACCTCTCTCTCCTGATGTTATAATGATCATTGCTTTTCCTGGAGAGATCCTAATGAGGATGCTGAAGATGCTTATTTTGCCTCTTGTTGTTTCCAGTCTGGTCACAGGTGGGTGAGGCACAGTAACTCGAACATACGATGTTCTGCTGAATTTGCTGACAACTGTCGTGAAATGAGGTCAACGGTGCTACTTGTTACCTTGGAGTTGAGTCGCAACAGCAGAGATGTGAGAGTGGGTGTATTTTTTTTCCTGGTAAACTGGGGAAAAAATGATCTTAAAATTGCTTTTTTTACATTTTGGCAAAAGAAAAAAAAGAAGAAGAAGAAGAAAAAGGGGGGGGGGGGGGAGCAGTGGGAGGAAAAAGAGCCACAGAACAGATTTTGTTGATTTCATACTGCACAAGTACACAGGTGTTACTGTTTTTCTACACTGGGATCTATTTTTAGTGAATGCATGAGCCACAGTCTGTTACTGTGCAAAGAAAAAAATAGAGCTGAAAGTCGCATTGGTGTGAAGCATAGAGACACAGTTACAGTAAGTTCCCTGTGAGCCAGGTGTTTTTTTAACAAGCTGAGCAGAATGACTGTAATATAGGATTGTGTTTGACCTTTTTATGCCTTATAGTTGTGTTATAGCTTTATATTTATTCATTTCAAAAATATCCGAGGTTACAACATGAGATATCAAATTACTTTTAAGAAAACTAAATATTGCTGACCAATATATTAGCAAATAATACTAGCAAACTGATACTGTATCAGTCTCTAGTTAAAAGATTCAGTTCTGTGGCACAATGTCTTTTTTTGTACACCCCATCATTATTTACAGCAGTTATGTTTCCCTAAGTTTTAGTTTTAGTTGCAAAATGTGTTCTCTCAGACTGATACGTTGCTTTTATTATGGCCACAGCTGCTTTAAACTAGCAATACCAATAAATCAAATGAGTTTTTATGTTTCTATAATGGTTAATCCATCAGTGTGTGCATGCTCTTAAATCCAAATTATATTTTTAATTATAAAATCTAATAATTTGTTTGTTGATGTTAGTGTTTTAGTAAACATACAGAAAATAGTAAAGCACATGATTATTATCATTATTTTTTTTATATCAAGATGCATTTATTTACTTCCATTCCTAAAAAGCAAACTTTAGTTTTATTGGTTGAATGTTATGCTTGATAATGTCAGACTTCTCAGAGAAGTTTGGCTCAAATTCGGGTAGAAAAACACGAATTCAGTTTGTTGTTTGTCTAACAAATAGCAATATAATTATTACGTTTTAAATGTGCTTTTTTACAGATGTCTGAAATATTTGTGATTTCTTAGTTTTATGATACTTGGTTTAATAAATTTGTTAAGCACTGTAAGTTTGCTCATACTTAAATGGCAGTTTTACAGTAAGAACATTAACCCTTTATTCCTACACACCTCCTGATTTTGCCACCGCAGTCGCATCCATCAGTAAAAGGTTACTTAGTCCTCACCTTTATCTTATGATGAAAACATGTCATGCTAGATGGCACTCTTTACTGCACTCATTTAAACATCAATCATTGGCAAGTTCAGAGTTTGAGACTGTCACAGCGCAGCTGAGCTGTTCTAATGGCATTCTGTGACCTAACTCCTTGCTGGACTTCATACTTAATATTTCTAAATCACTTGATTTATTTCCCATCTGTATGTTATCCTAATGTATCTGAAAGTGGACTTTAGAGCTCACATGCCACATGCTGCTCTTATTGGAAGGACTTTAGCAATTTGGTTACAGTAGCCGATTAATTTAAACAGATTAATTTAATGACATCTTAGTGCCTATTTTGATTCATTATTGTCATTCTGAGTAAATATTATTATATCCTGTAAAACATACTTTGCCAACAGGACTAGCTGGTTTGGATGCCAAATCCAGTGGGCGACTAGGCACCAGGGCCATGGTGTACTATATGTCGACAACGGTGATTGCGGCTGTCCTAGGAGTGGTCCTGGTGCTGGCCATCCATCCCGGGAACCCCAAGCTTAGGGCCAATCTTGGACAGGGAAAGAAGAACGACGATGTGTCCAGTGTGGATGCTTTATTTGATCTCATCCGAAATCTTTTCCCAGAGAACTTAGTGCAGGCCTGTTTCCAGCAGGTAGGAGTTTCACAGATGGTCTTCGTCCACCGCAAAAATGTGATTCACATGTCAGTTCCTCCAACTGATTCTTGTTTTCTTTGCTTGCTGTCCAGATCCAGACAGTAACCACCAAAGTACCAGTACCCACTAACAGGACCAGAGCACCTCCGCAGTTCACAGTCAAAAGGTCACTTCAGTTCAAGAGTGGGATGAATGTCCTGGGTAGGTTTGAAAGCACGCCCAGTGCATAAATGGAATCACTTAGCAGGGTTACTGATGTAAAACAAAAGTTCTGTTTTAAAAAAAAGTTCCATCATCAAAGGGAAACATTCAGATAACACAAAGGCATCGATTGGCATCTGTGTCTGCAAACACAGATTTTTGAGCTCCTCACCAGGGGCGCCTAATGTAGGGTGTCTCCCTCTCCATTGTGCTCATGTTTATTAACATTATTACCAACTTAGGAAAGACTTATAACTTTACATTGGCTGAATTTTCTTTACACACTTTAATTTGTATTTCATTTCATTAATGCTATAACTAAATGCTCTAGTTGGTATTTTGAACATTCCCAACACCTAGGACAGCCTTTCATTCTGTACAGTACTTAAAATGAATGATTGGTTGCCTGTCACTTTAGATTTAGTCTACAATACATACAAATGTACTTTATATATTCTAAAATTAGGTATTGTACATAGCAGAATGTTGCTTTGCTGTCTAGTAATATGTCTGAATAATTCTTCCTCCGAGCAAGTAAAATGATTAACTTTCTATTAATTTATACTAAATTATCATATTCCGTGTCTTACAGGTTTAATTGGATTCTTTGTTGCTTTTGGAGTTATTATGGGGAAAATGGGCGAAAAGGCCAAGCTAATGTTGGAGTTTTTCAACATACTCAATGAGATTGTTATGAAGCTCGTTGGTGCAATTATGTGGTAAGTTCAGTTCATCACAAGCACTGTTCCACACAAGGTTAAAACAGCTGCAGGCCCCAATTTTTAAAAGGTAGAAAAAAGCTATCAGAACTTAAAAGTACATGCCCCCCACCTGCAGTTCACCCCACTCCATTTTAAGCCCCTAACACTAAAACGCCACTCCCTGAAGGGATATTCCTAATGCATTTCAACAGGTTGCGTTGGTTTCCATAATAAGTATTTTTGCTCTTTAATACTTTCATTATCTGGATTGAAAAGCCCAGTGATTGGCCTAAAGCTTCTATTGTGGGGAACATTAAAGCTTGAAAAGAGACTCTCGAGTAAATACAGGAGCCTTGTACACTATCAAACCACTTGAATAACAACATGCTGCTAAATCAAAGCAAAACTGTGTTGCCTATTCCTAACAATTTATTCTCTTTAATATATATATATATATATATATATATATATATATATATATATATATATATATATATATATATATATATATATATACATATATATATATATATATATATATACATATATGTGTGTACAGCATGAAGCAACTTGTTGTAGGATCTAAGCTGAATGCTATATAGTCAAAGGAGCTTGCAAAGAAAAGCGTCTGGACTTCTTTAAGTTGCTTGAAGACGTTTCACCTCTCATCCGAGAAGCTTCTTCAGTTCTAAGGTCAAATGGTGGAGAGTCCCAGATATCTCACCAGACTCTCCACCATTTGACCTTAGAACTGAAGAAGCTTCTCGGATGAGAGGTGAAACGTCTTCAAGCAACTTAAAGAAGTCCAGACGCTTTTCTTTGCAAGCTCATTTGACTACAATGACCTGGATGACTGAGAACCTTCACAGACATGAATGCTATATACTATATTTTCCTGTGCCTGACATATTTGTAACCAAAATACACACTCTGTCTTCAGGTATTCCCCTGTTGGTATTGCTTGCCTCATCTGTGGAAAAATCATCTCTATTGCTGACTTGGAGGTGGTTGCAAGACAACTGGGAATGTACATGGTTACTGTGATAGTGGGCCTTATCATACATGGAGGAATTTTTCTTCCACTGATATATTTTATAATAGTAAAAGAAGACCCCTACAAGTTCTTCATGGGAATATTCCAGGCTTGGGTCACGGCACTGGGAACAGCGTCCAGGTATGGGGAATTTTGCATCTGTTTGTGTTGAACATTGTAGAATTCAGACTCCTTGACCCTCAGAGGACCACAGTATCCCTGTCTAGAAATCAGGCTTTGTTTTTCAATGTGATATATGCTTTTATAAATACTTTTGTAAATACTCTATCACAGATGCTAAATAATCAGGGCAACCGTTTTTTTGGAGTGATAACTATGGAATTAGCTTGCTAGCAACACTTTCTCACTTTGCCTCCACATGGAATATCTCCATGTTTTATTAATGGCACCAGATACACGCTTCCCTCTACAGAGGTGAGCTCAGCTTTTTCCCAGTTCCTTCCAGCTCACCATTCCACAACCTTAGAAGAAAGAAGCCAAGCAAGTTTGGAGTCACAGCTGTGGTTATTTCTATGATATTCTGTCTTAAATTCAAACAAGTTAAAGTTTTTGATTGTTTTCAAAAGTAAAACGCCTGAAAGACCTTATATGAATCAAATTACCATAGTTTGGAGTAAATTATTTTCATTTTGAATGGAAGAATGGTGCAATTAAATTTAAAAATCAATGGAATATAAAGAGTGATTCAGGCAAATTAATTCTCAACAGACAGTCTATTATTTGTTGCAGAGTTCTTTATTCCTACACGTTTATAGTGTCAAATTGGGTGCACAATTTCCAAGCTGAATCTCATTCTCATGTCATATTAACAAGCTTCGTCTTGTTTTATTTGCCACAGTGCTGGTACCTTGCCTGTTACGTTCAGATGCTTAGAGGAAAACCTGGGCATTGACAAGAGAGTGACACGCTTTGTCCTCCCGGTGGGAGCTACAATCAATATGGATGGCACAGCACTTTATGAGGCTGTTGCTGCCATCTTCATCGCTCAGATGAATGGCATCAGCCTCGACTGGGGCCAGATTGTTACCGTAAGGTAAGCCTACAGTCCTCCTATCCATAGGACACAAGGAGTCCCTCTGTTCTTTGATTAGTATAAAAGCATTGTCAGTCATGCTGTAGCCTACACAGTCACCATTTCTCAACCCAAACTGGGGAGACAGGGGAGAACGTCCACACTCTTGTAAAAGCTTGTCCTATGGACATGGTGTCCAAATTACTAAAACACATTATTTCTTTTATTGCATTATCCCCCTTCACTTTACAGGAAAAGTCATTGTGTAGAATAAGGTTGTGGTTTAAATTTACTTAGACAGTGTACACTCTTACAGTTCCCAGTTTCAATACTTAGTTATCAAAATACTTTTGTCATCATAAAACCTTTTGTAGAGATAGTATAGGGTGTTAGCTGTGTACAGATAGTAAGGATGTGTGTGTATTAAAACCTTACACTTGAAAATTTCTCCTATTTAGCATGACAGCTACCTTGGCCAGTGTTGGAGCAGCTAGTATCCCGAGTGCTGGACTTGTGACCATGCTTCTGATCCTAACAGCAGTAGGGCTGCCCACTCAGGACATCAGCCTCCTGGTTGCTGTCGACTGGCTTCTGTGAGCGCCACATCAACACTGCTATCATGACAAAAGCATGCAGACATATTCTAACACCATTCAATGTTCTTACTTTTTAAATTTTATGTAAGCAGTTTTAGATGTTACAATAATAAGGACAAATCCTTCCCGCTATATATTATCACGTGTAGTCAAATAAGTAATCTTTTTTTTTTGTAAATTTCCCGAGCATATGTGCTAAAGTAATCATTTTATTTGTATGTACACATTTTTGCTAATATTAAAAGAGTAGAGTGCCTGTTTTACTGGCCTCTAACATGTGTAATCACTGTTATAACTGTGGTTGTTATGGTTTTAAGTTATTTAATGAAAAACCATTTAATTGAGTCACACAGTGAAATATTTGTATTGTTTCAGAAAACACATAACCACAGTAAATGTCTAAAGTTCTAGCACCTACACATTTGCTCCATGAAAAAGTATTTTCCCCTTTCCTTAGATCTTTTTTGTTTGTTTGTTTGTTTGTTTGTTTGTTTGTTTGTTTGTTTGTTTGTTTGTTTGTTTGTTTGTTTGTTTGTTTGTTTGTTTGTTTGTTTGTTTGTTTGTTTGTTTGTTTGTTTGTTTTGGGGGGATTTGTCACACTTCAGCATTTCAAATCTTTAACAAATTTAAACAAAGATAACTGGAGTAAAAGTTTAGTTTTAAAATGATCTTTCATTTATTAAGAAGAAAAAAGCTATCCAAATCTACCTACCTACCTACCTAAACCTAATAACTGGCTTTGCCACCCTTGACAGCAAGAGTCTTTCACATTGCCTTGGAGGAATTTTGGCCCTCTCTTCCCTGTAGAATTATTTTAATTCAGCTATAGTGGATGGTTTTTGAGCATAAACCGCCTGTTTAAGATCATTTCAAAGCATCTAAATGCATCTAAAGAGTCCAGACTTTGACTAGGCCACTCCAGAGCCTTCATTTTGCATTCAGAGGTTGTTTTCTTTCTTTTTTTTTAGCTATTCAGAGGTGCTGCTCAAGGTAGCTTGAGCTTCAGGGCATGAACTGATGGACCATACGTTCTCCTCCTGTTTTTTCTGGTAGAGAGCAGAATTCATGGTTCAGTTATGACATGTTGTCCAGGTCCTGAAGCAACAAAGCTGCCCCAGGCCATCAAACTACCACCTCCACCACCATGTTTAACTGTTGGTATGATGCTCTCGTTATGAAATGCTGTGTTAGTTTTATATCAGATGCAATGGGATTCAAAGCTTCCAAAGACTTTCATCTCATCAGTCCACAGAATATTTTCTCTTAAGTCTCCATCAAGATGATTTTTATGTTGTCTTTGGTCAGCAGGCGTTTTTCGCCTTGGAACTCTCCCATGTATGGCATTTTTGCCTTTTTTTCACTGTTGCAACTTGAACTATGTCCTTAACTGAGGCATATGAAGACTGTAGTCCTTTAGCTGTTGCTCTGGGTTCTTTTATGACCTCCTGAGAGAGTGGTTGATGCACTCTTGGGGTAATTATGGTCAGCCCGCCACTCCTGGGAAGCTTCAGCACTGTTCCAAGTCTTCTCCATTTGTGGATAATGACTCTGACTGTGGTTTACTGAAGTCCCAAAGCCTTAGAGATGGCTTTGGAACTCTTGATAGGTGTCAGTGACTTTGTTTCTAAGTTGCTTCTTTATATCATGGCTTTTATTTATGAGCTTTCTTGATTTATCAGGAGTGGCAGGAATGAGGCCTCGGTTTGACTAGTGAAACTGAACCCTGCTTTACCAAAAATGTGGTTAATCACATTTAATTCATGATTTAGCAAGGGGAATTGTTATGTTTTCATAGAGGCCAAATTAGGTTTAGGTTTAGCTTTTTTCCCTTGATAAAATGAATCATCATTTAAAACTCCCTAAAAACAAAATAAAGTGATTTTATGTAAGGAATGGAGTATTTTAAGAATCTTGGAGTATTGTTCACAAGTGGTGGGAGAGAGGAGCAGAAATTTGACAAACTAATTGGTGCTGCTGTAACAGTCCACTGTTGTGAAGCGAGAGCTGAGCATAAAAGCAAAACTATAGATTTATCATTTGCTCTACGTCCCAACTTTCACCTGTGGTCACAAGCTCTGGATTGTCACAAACACTGAGATCACAAATACAAGTAAGGAAATGAGCTTTCTATGAAGGCTGGCTGGTTCAGTCATTCAGGAGGGGCTCGGAGTAGAGCTGCTACTCCTCGAGAATGAGCCAGCTGAGGTGATTTGAGCTGACAAGGATACCTCCTGGGCATCTCCTGGGTGAGGACCGAGGGAGGCACCAGGGTAGACCCAGGCCTGTATATGCCTCGGTGTTCCCCCAGAACTGAAGGAGGTAGCTGGGGAGAGGGAGATATGAGTGTCACTGCTTAGATTGCTGTCCCCACAACCTGGCCCCAAATAAGCAGTAGACAATTGATGGATGCATGCATGGATGGTGTTTTTATTCATCTAGTGCTTTTTTCTTTTTGTTTTTTTTAACATGTAGGGATCGTTTCCGTACCTCTGTTAATGTGGTTGGGGACTCCTATGGAGCAGGCATCGTGTACCACCTTTCCAAAGACGAGCTTGACTCCTTTGACGCCCAGCAGGTCCGGATGGACGACTTTGAGATGGCAAAGACACAATCGTTCTTTGAAAATAACACCAACCAGAATATGTACGCTCACCACAACTCAGTGTTGATAGACGACTGCAAGGTACATTTCACGTTAACGGACATAGAGACCTGTATGTAGCGCATCCTTCCCAGCTGTGTGTTTGTCTTTCTTTTTGTGTCTGTTACTCTTTTCTCTGTGGCTTCCTATGTTGGCATATTGGTGTCTGTGTGAATAGTAAAAGTCATTCTTGACTGAAAAATGTCATCTTTAAAGTGGTGAAAAGCTAAATAAATATTTTTTTTATATTTATTTATTCACCTGTTGATCATATGAAAAAGCAGTTTTTGTGATACCAGGTTTATCAAAATTTGTTCACTTCTACATCATACATTGTTCTTATTGTTTATAAAAACTGAATCAGTTTATTTTAAAGGCTCAACACTAATCTAATTCATTGTCTCGTACATGTGGCATATTTTTCTGTTTTATTTCATTTGCTTACTTAATTGGACATGTATTTATGGTAGCCCTGACCAAATTATTAGTTCTTACATTTTTAACCATATTTTCAAAGTGATTTTAGCCAGTGGTATACATAAAGACTGCTGTTTTTTCCATATCATCATCAATCATCCAAAGTGATGCATTCATTTAAGAAATGCCTGTTTCATGCCTCCTGTCTATACTGTAGCTAGATTTCTAAACAAACAACAGAAAAAAAAAATTATTCACGTTCATTGCCTGTATAGTGATGAATATCATTATTGTAATTTGGTTGGGGAGAGAATCCATTAAATACATGGCCAACTCTGGAAAAATGACTTAATGTACTTGTCTATCACTGCATGACAACGTGTTTTTGTCTGTCGGGGACTAACTAAACTCAGCCCCAAGGTCAATGGCCAACATGTAATGAAGCAATGGTTTCTCTGCTCCCAACCACTGACAGTCTGTCAGTAACAGTGCCTTGGTCACAACAGTTAGTTGTTCTTGATAATTGCTTACAGGTCACCATGGGCAAAAATGGCAACACTGCAGAATTCTCTCTTGTTGAGGAAGACCCATGGAAATGCGGGTAAAGCAGATTCAGATGCCGCTGCACCTTACATGAGTATTACTTTTACCTTCTGCCGACACAACTGCAAAAATACAAGCGACGACAAAAAGCAATCATATTAAGAAGAAGACATAAAAGAAAAGAAAAGAAAAGAAAAGAAAGCATTAAGGGGAGGTTAACAGGAGTCGGACAGATTTTGAAAATACCTTTATCCATCTGGGTAACTGAATGGATCAAATCTTCACCCTAGATCAGATCTTGTGTTTGTATAACTTCTGCACAAACTGTAATAAACTTCCATGCACTTGTAGAGACAACATTCAGTTGACAACACTCAGGGCCTTACTTGGTGCTGCTGCAAGCTACCTGTCCTGTCAACGCAAACAAATTCTTCTACTCTGTGCAACATGTCATGTTTCTTTTGTACCAAACCATTTTCTTTGTAGCTTAAAGGAGGGTGTGTGACTGATGGCCTTGCTGCTTAACTTATATACGAGGAGCATGTGATATAAAAGGCATCAGAATCTGACAGATTTTATTGCTGAATTGTTGATACCATCAGCGGTTTCACAATTTGTAAGCTTATGGCAAAGAAAAGAAAAGAAACCAAAGCAAAGAGTGTCTTGTTGTTGAATTGCAGAGAAAGGTCATGGCAGTTAAACCTTGAATCACCTTTGACTGTTCAGCTCATGGGATTATTCCCTGATGTCACACACAAGGTCAGAGCTGATAAGTGAAGATTAGGATTTAAAAGCAGAGAGCGTGGCCTCTAAATGTAGCAACACAAAGTACAGAATGTGTTGCTGAGAGTAAAGCTCAAATAGATTACATAAAGGGTGTCCTCCCAGTTATTTATCCATATGTTTGTTTCTTTGTTTTTTGTATGTATGTCCTTAATGTATGGATAACTGAGTTTCTGTTAATAATCAAAAGTCTGCTGTGTCCTAGAAATCATGTGTGTACGAGTGTGTTTCTGACAGAGAGTGGGGGAGATTAACGAAAAGAAAAGGAACAAAAAACTGGAGGTTTAATGAGAAGAAGTGGGGATGTCTCTCAAACTCTCAACAGACCAGTGCATTGTCCAGTGTTTTATTTCAAACCGTTTATTTCTTTACTATATGACAACCTTGCCTTGATGATGTCACCTGCAGAGTGCAGTTAGTATGATCATGATCACTGAAGCATTTCTGGATGAAAGCTAGTATGGATTGTCGCGCTAGAATAGAAAAGAGTAACAGAAGTTTTGTGAGTGAGGATGGCTGGGCCTTCTTCACAAGGTTTTGTAACATCTACAAAACAGATTTAGATAGAAATAACAAGCTTGTAATTACACCTACAGTTAATTAGCTATGGTCACGTCTGTTTAGCAAGTGCACACTAAATTCTGCCTCCAGCACTCGCATAAATCTGACGCTGTAACAACAAGGTCATTGGATGTTGGCTCAGTATGTACATGTTTGTGAGTTTCACTCTGGTGTTCAAAACTAGATGAAACTGGATTATTCATTTCTTTTTCATATAAGCAGAAGCTTATATAAATATATATATATAAATAAAAGTGCCTGCTTGCACTTTGTGTATATACTCTCTTTAGGTAAAAAGTGTACAAATCAAATGTATAGACTTGATATTTTTGTCATCATAATGGTTTTTGCTATTTAAAAAATTTATATAATGACCATAATGATATACAACTTTGCAGTTATGCTAGAACAATGCTAATTTATTTATTTAACGGGCCATTAGTTATCTCAATAGGTTGTGACCTTAGGGTTATTCATTAACAAAGAATCCATTACATGTGTTTGTTTTTAAGAAAGATTGCAAATTGTTTTCTGGGAAAAAAGTCCACTATTTGTCAGTGTGGGTACAAATTGTTACTGACCCACTGCATATTTGGTTGCTTAAGGGTTCTGAGCAAGCTTATGGGGGTTTTTCAGTATGTGAGAATATGGGTATCTCTAAAGGGAAAGACTGCAGTAAGCCAGTCATTTGTCACTGATTTTCTTTATGCTTCTCCATTTCTTTAATTTATTATTGGTCATTGTTTTAGTTGATGATATGTTATTAGTCAACTGGCCTACCATAGCAAGTGTTTTCTATAAAGATGTAAGACTTGTACCATCTTTAGATGATTAAACTCCTATTTTGTATCTTTGTTTGGGATTCTGTACACATGTCTGTCTGAGAATGCATTAAATATTTTCTTGTGTCTGACATTCATCATCATGCTAAGCTCTGACTGGCTAAATGGAAGTAAGAGTGAAGGGATTTGTGCTTCACCATCACAAGAGCAAAAATATTCGTCTGAAAAATGGACCGAAAGTGTATAAATGTTTCAATGCATGTGTGTAAAGATTATTGTAAGCAAATAAATGTTTATTGATGAGCTACCATTGTGATTATTCCTCATAGGAGGCAGGATGCAGTACAGTATATGAATGTTCAGTAAGTGCATGTTACCACTGCTGAAGTGCTGTGCAGGCTCTCAAGAGGAACTAGACTCAGTGACCTGAGTACCATTCAGTACTCCAAGATTCCACAAAAAAAACAACAGAGCAGCTTAATATAAGTTACAGTCCACAACACAGTCTTCAATAAGATTATTACAGAAAATAGCTTTGTAACAAATGACACTTTTAACAAAAAAAAAAAAAAAGGCCAGCTGGAAAAAAGGAAACCACGTGAATTACAAAGAAAAACTGGGAAAAAAAACACTGTAGAGAGTTTAGCTCCATTTGAAATAAATGACATTACCACACTTTACCTGACCAACACATAATTTAAAAATTTAAAAAGAAAGAAAAAAAAACGTAATAATGCAATAAATAGACTAATCAAAATTTACTGCAGCTATAAAGGTGTCATCAAAGTTTTTCAAAGTCAGTGGGGGAAAAAAGAAAAGACATATTGTTGTCATTCAGACAGGAATCAGAGGTGTGAGAGTCCACAAATCCCCTTTTGCTCCGCAGTTTGGACAATTTTGTTCCTCTTTTAAATTATTGTGCTTGAAACACAGTCTCACGGTTCTGTTTTTCAGAGGGTTTGTTTCTGGATCTCAGTATGAGGGACCATTTTCTGGAACATCTTCCAGGGGAATGACAGTGTACTCCCCTGAATGTCCATTCTCCTTGGGTTTCTCATTAGGCAGGAAAGTCTCCATCTCTCGCTCCCTCTTCTGGTTCGAGAGGTTATTTGAAGCCACTGTCAGATTTGCCTGGTTTGGTCCATTCCACCTGCAACATAAAAAACATTAATTAAAATTCTGTGCTTTGAGAAGATCTACTCAGATATGTTGTTCGTTTCTCTGACATATGAGTCTTACTTGTGTCTGGTTGCGATGGCAACACAGAGTATTACAAGTGCTGCAACACCAACGATAAAGCCAAGGATGATGATCCAATCTGGTCATATGGGAGAGGTGTGTTATAAAGGTGGAATGAGTGTTATTCATGTATTAATTGTGCAGAAGTGTGGTTTTTGTCTGACTCACCAGGTGTAACGTGTCCTTTGTGTGTCGTTTCAGTGTTTGTCGTCTGCGTCTGTGTCTGTGGTGCTAATTGCACATAAAAATAGAATTGTAAACCCCTCCATATACACCACAACAATTTAACATACAGGTACTTATTGTTAATTACAAAATATTTACCTTTATTAATGTTCTCCCGATGCTGAAAATTTCGATTTTGTTTTGATAGTATTGATGATACAGTGCTAGTTTCTACACTCGAGCCAGATGTCATAGTGGTGCTTTTAGAAACCAGTTCAGACCCTGAACCAGAATCCGGGTTTGTTGTGACGTCACTGGTAGAGACAGTAGGATCAGTAGTTTGCGAGAAGACGTTGTTGTTTGAAGTGTTGATTGACTGGTCTTCACTTGTCACTGATGTTGTGGTGGTATGGCTAAAGAGGGAAGGTGAGGTATATCCTGAACCTCTCCCCTTTAACATGTAATGCTCTGTGAAGTCCGACGTCGGAGCATGCGTTGCTGTTGTGGTATCAAGTGCGATGGGTATTGTTGATTCGACAGCACTCCCCTCAAACATGTAACTGTCTGTGGAGTTAGAAGTCGGTGCATTTGTGGCATTCGTTGTTGTGATATCGAGTGTGAAGGCGATCGGTGATTCGTCACTGTTCTCTCCTAAACCACTGCCATCATTCACGGCACTCTCTATGAATCCAGAGGTCTGAGCATTTGAAATACTCAGCGTTGTGGTTTCATGAGGTGAGATGGACGTTGTTAAGATGTCACTGATCTTTCCAGCAGCACTTCCTTCGGTCATATCTTCAGAGTTGTAAACCGGTGTCTGTGATGCTTGAACTGTGGCACTTATTTTGGGTGTTTCAGTTGTAAGCGTAGGCGATGGACCAACAATGAACCCCTCCGTCATGGCATCCTCAAGAAAGCCTGCATCAGGGTTGGCAGGGTTCTGGGTCACAGCTAGGACAAAGAAAAAGGAAAAAATCCATGTATCATCTTAAGTGTTTACCTACTGGCTCTGAAATGAGTAGGGAGGAAAGTTACCAAGCTTTGTTAAACACAAAAGGACCACACAGAGCTTATGTTGCTTCAGCCCAAAGTCTTGTGTTAGCTTGTTATGTGACCCGCTTTGATAAGGTGTGGTGAGAGACAGTAATAATTAACCTAGGTGACTATTTGTGTATTAGTGTGTTAACAAAAGAGAGACAGCTCCATCAAAGCATCAGTTTTAATACCACGCCAAATAAACCAGGCCAACATAACTGCTTTCTGTCTTTCAAAAAGTATTAAGCCATTGTTAGGATTTTGTGTCACAAAGGAAGGAAGTCACATATCTTCTGGTAAACCATTATAATCGCTGGTGAATAGAAAACATTTAAATTTTTATTTAATTGCTTCTTTTCTCAAATATTTCTATTTTAAGATACTTTATAAGTTAATTCATTCTTATATTTACCTGACATCTACAACTACTTGGTATTTTTCAAGTAGACCTTACATTAGCAGTATCTTGGAGCATGAATTGAGTTGTTAGCAGTTCTACTACCAAAGGTCCCCCTTAACCTTGTAGCCCATATTTAAAATGCTTTATGTTGTTAAATGCCACTTATACACTGATGGAATAGTGTAAGTAAACCAATGAAACTATGTATAGTTTAGATTTATACAGAAAGAAAGGAAGGATGAATGAAAGAAAGCGGCTCAGCTCAAATCACACATCTCCACTCTACATTTCTGCCCAGTCACATTCAGCTCTGGTGTTCCCTATGAGATTACATGTGTAACAGCTCTTCGCTGATCTTTGGTTTCAAGACAAATTCATTAATGCACCTCCTGGAACAGAACATTTCACAAAGACTTCTGTGTTTAATTGAGCTCTGCCAATGAGACCTGTGCATTAACAATGAAATGTGACTCGTTAAGGAAGTGCCATACTTCAAATATAAAGAGATTTAGGTAGTAGCAGGAGAGTGCTGACTCACGGGGTAAAGAGAAAGGCTCGACAGGAAGTGGTGAACTTTCAGTTGATATAAAGGAATTACTTTGTCTGAGACAGAACACCCTTTGCTCCTAAATCTTGCGATGGAATCTTTTTTATACAGCATCATTCATCATCAATTAATAAATAGCTTTGTTGTGGTTGTTTTTACAGTTTAACTATCAAAGACAAATCCACATTGAAATAAAAAAGCTGAAAATTCTGCTAAAAACAATTTACTACAATACTTATTAAAAAAAATACCACTTACTATTAACAGGTGTTGAATGAACAGCAGCAAGGAGTCCCAGAAGAACTCCCAAAAGAAGATTCCTCATCTTCATAATAGAGAAAGGTGCTAAAATCAAGGATTGGAAGTAACTAAGAGTCAGCTGGAACTATATTGCACAGTGAACTGATACTTTGAGCCAGATAAATCATGCCTTTGCCTTTTTATACAGCAGCAGGTCATAACAGCACAAAAGCTAGCGTCACAGAAACACACAAGAGCTCAGACACACCTTTTGACTCGCCTTCTTCCTTATCCACTTTCTCACGGTTTTTTTCTCCCTCAGGCACAGCACTCATGTCAAAATTACATCAATGTAAAGTTCCTGCTCAGGATTTTCCTTGCCTAGTGAAAGTTCTAACAAATGCGTTGCATGATGGGATTTGGTTATCATTTATTGCAGGGCTGTATCACATGAAGGCAAAACAAGAACATTTTTTAGTGTGTAGTAGTCCATGTGTTTCTTTTATGTTTCTGTGGTGTTTAACAGGGGCCAGAAAAAGTTGAAAGAAAGTGCTGCACAAACATATGCACCAAATGTCAAAACAGTATCAGTATCCTAATCTATAAACCTACTAAGATTATATAAGAAATGGAAAAATACAGTTTGCATGAAATACTTGCAAGGACCTGAGCCTGTCACTAAAGGGGTAGGTGCAATTTTTTTTTTTAATTGACCTACATTTAAGTATGACATGTGGATTTTTTTTTAACAAGAAAGATACACACGGGAACTTATTCTGACACATTTGAATCTGTTAAAAGCCTAATAAAGTTAGCCATTGTTGCCTTTGTTTGAAAGGAGTGTATGAGTGTAAGATTACATCTCTCCATGTCTGGTAATGCAGGCTAGAAGCATGCAAGAGAAAAGAAAAACATACAAGGGATCATTACTGATTGCTCGGGTGTTATGTAATGCAATCCAACCAGCAGTTGAATAATAGGGAAACTCGGGTGAAACTCTGGGTACCATGTAAAAAAGCCTTCACAGAAATGGAAAAATCTGTTGATGACAGAAGAGAGGCTTGGAAACTGCTCAAGACTCAGTTAGACAAATGATACATTATGTGCAGTTCTACAGATGCATGAGACAACACATCATTTTTTATCACTGCTTTCTTATCATTCTATCTTCCATAACCATGTCACAGAAGAAGCCTGGCATTTTAACAAAACAAGGCAATACATTGTTGGCCTGGTTTCATAGTTTTAATATCCAATTTTTGACTTCACTAGGAAGATTTTTGTTACAATCTCAGCTGAATATCACCTTCCTGCAGGCAGTGTGTGCTGTATATAATAGCACTTGTGATATGCTGGTATCTGATGGAAATTGATGCATGCGTCACAGCAAGACTATTGCCTCAGGTGTTCTGGTGCATTCGTGAAGTTGTGACATTCGTCATGAATTACTCAGCGTGTGTGGGTGAGCTCTTGTCCAGACTTGTATTCCACACCCAGTAGAGGCTTGTTTCTGTTACTGTTAAGAATGGAATTTCACAATTTATTAGCTATGATGCACAGTAGGAAGAATCACCAGGCTAAAACACAAACCAGACGGTGCAAGTGATTCAATGATAATGAGGTACAATGCATGGAAGCCTTAGTCTTTCACATAGTTTGGTAGAACTATAGTCACGA